TGACAACTTTCCTAATCATTAACCCATGTAAAAGTCACAAATAAGCACAGAGATTCCAATGCTTGCCCTTCCCATACAGAAAAAGTTAACCATGTATAATCATGCAGCACTATGGTTTTCAATGTGTTAAAATTTTATATACATGTACACGAGAGTGCCAAGACTATTCAAAGGGCAAAGTACAATCCTTTCAACAAATGGTGCTGGGAAAACTGGATGTTCACAAACAAAAGGATTACGTTGGACCCTTACTTCATAAGCAAATATTAACTCAAATGGATCAAAGATCTAAACATAAGGGCTAAAACTACTCGGTTGGCCAAAAATTCTGTTTATTTTTTTCCGTAAAATAAAAGACACATTTTTCATTTTCACCAATAACTTCACTGATTCGGATACTTGGAGTATGTTGGCTATCTCCTGTGTAACAGAATGCTGATTGTTCTCAATTAATGTCTTGATCGCTATCAACTTCAACTAGTCTACCCAACTGTGCAGCATCAGTCAACGAGAAAGCTCCACCATGAAATTAAGCAACCCATTTTTGATACATTTGATAAGTTACAGCACTTTCTCCATACACTACTCAAATCTTCTTTTGTATTTCAGTTACATTTTTACCTTTCTTGAAATAATAAAGCACAATATACCAAAAACATTGTATTTTCTTCCATCTTCAATATTAAAATGGCTACACAAAAATTCACCAATTTTGATGTTTTTTTAAAAATGCACACTGATATGACAGCTGTCACAATACAGTTTAACAAAATTGTTTTGAATGAGGTTAAAGACAACAAAGTGCTACTAGAGCCATCTTACGGGGAAAAGAAATCAAATGAATTTTTTGGCCAACCCAAGAGAGAACTCTTAAAAGAAAACAGAGGAAAAGTTTCAAGACACTGAATTTGGCAATGATTTCTTAGACATGCCACCAAAAGGACAAACAACAAAAGACAAAAATAAAGTGGATTTCATTAAAATTAAAAACTTTTGAGTATCAAAGGACACTATCCATAAAGTGAAAAGGCAGCCCACAGAATGCAAGCAAATATTTGTAATTCATGGATCTGATATAAGATTAATATCTAGAATAAAGAATTCTTACAACTCAACAACAAAAGCAAACAAACCAATTTAAAAAATGGGCAAAGGACTTGATTAGACATTTTTTACAAAGGTACACAAGTGGCTAATAAGGACATGAAAAGATGTTTAACATCATTAATCATTAGAAAAATGTAAATCAAAACCACAATGAACACTTCTCACTCATTAGGATGGCTATTATTTAAAACAAAACTAAACCACACCCAGAAAATAACAAATGTTGGTGAGGAGAAATTGGAAGCCTTGTGCATTGCTGGTGGGGATATAAAAATACTACTGCTGCTGTAGAAAAGTATCGCAGTTTCTTAAAAAGCCAAACAATTACCATATGATCCAGCCATTCCATTTCTGGGTATATACCCAAAAGAAGAGAAAGCAGAAGCTCAAACAGATACGCATATGCCAATGTTCAGAGGAAGATTATTAACAATAGTTAAAAGGTGGAAACAACCAAATAACCACCTACAGATAACTAAACAAAAGGTGGTACATACATACAATGGAAGATTACTCAGCCTTAAAAAGGAATGAAATTCTGATTCATGCTACAGCATGGATGAAACTTGAAGACATTATGTTAGGTGAAATAACCCAGATACAACAAAAAAACAAATATTGCATAATTCTACGTATAAAGTACCTAGAATAGTCAAAACCATAGAAATAGAAAGTAGAAACAAAATCATAGAAACAGAAGAGTGGTTACCAGGAGCTGAAAAGGGGTAGGGGGTGGAGAGTTACTGTTCAATGGATAGAGTCTCAGTTAGCTGTGATGGAGAATTCTGGAAATGGGTCATGACAATGGCTGCACAACCATGTGAATGCACTTAATACCACTGAACTGTACATTTAAAAATGGTTAGATGGTAAATATTATGCGGTATATTTTACCACAATAAAAATACTTGTGTTATTTATTTTATTATGGTGGCAGTATAGGAATATGGTTAAGAATACAAGCTTAAGAATTATGCTATAAAGCTCTATGACTTTACAGTATTCTTTGCCTGTTTTCTTAGATATTAACAGAACCTTATTAGTATCATCGCAAGAATTAAGTAAATTAATACACATAAAGCATTTAAAACAGTGCATGTCATACAATAGTGACTTCTTGCTTATTATGGGTTTAAAATAACTTTTAATGAGATTTAAGTCAAACACCTGCAGAACTTCTGAAGGTCCTCCTCAAAATTCCAGAGTTTAGTAAAACACAGACTGAAAAACAGTGATCTAATCCAGTGATTTTCAACCGCTGTGTCACAAGAATTTGTAAAACACGCAATACCTATTTATTTAGTCAGGAGCACTGACCTTTTTCTCCTTAGACTATCAAATAAACAAATGACAACAGCCATACTGTGTGAATGAATCAAAGTTATACCTATTTTTTTTGTCAGATCAGCAAAAAGATATTTTTTGCTGTGCTGCAGAATTTTAGTAATTAGTTTATATGTGCCTTGAAATGAAAAAGGATGAAAATCGCTGAATAAATCCATATATTTCATTTTATAGGTAAAGGAATTGAGAGTCACATATTGTTTCACTGATATTAATTTTCCTAAAATAAAGAGTTTGGGGTTAATAATACTAATGTTGACATTCAATTACTTGAGAATGAAGGCAAACCCACAAGATGCTGTATGTGTCTAAGAATCTATGAATAGCCTGATAGTCACCCACTATGCTAATTTAATAAATAATTATGTACAAATGGGAACCAAAGGCAGGAAAACCAAAAGAAAGTCATTTTAATTATCTTCAAAGACAAAAGTTAAAAACACCTCTGTGGAAAATAAAGTGTTAAAATATTTGTGAAAACAAATGATAGGGATTAAGAGTTTGAGACACACCCAACATACGTACACTATTCCACTCCCTTCAGCCACTTACTTAATATATAATCTTGGTGAGACCTTTAAATCTGAAAAATCAGATGCTTTTTCTACCGAATTGAGAACTTATCTACAAATAATTCTTTATATTAACTCCAAACAGAAGATAGCAGCAATCCAAATAACAGAAAATGTCTAATCCAAAAAATCATGTATTAAGCTTTGTAGACATCTCTCTGTACTTAACGGAATAGGCTAGATCTGGTTTCTGGGAAATTCACAACACAAAAAGCAAAATAACAGAGACAATCTTTGAAGGTCAGATTCAACAAGAGCTTTAAAAAGCTTTAGAGCGGCTGTTTTGCCCTTCCCCCATTGCTCTTCCTCCACAAATCGGCTCTCAAGAAGAGCACCACCTCTACTTGGAATGTCCTCCCCCTCCAAATCTACATCAGCTGAAATCCTACCCATCTTTAAGGGTTTCACTTCAATGCCGCAGTTTCTCCATCAATTTTCCCCCACTGCTGCCAGTCTAGAATTAAGTTCTTTCCTCTACATTCCCCTGCTTTGCACCCCTACTTCAACATTTTATTATATAATTCATTGCATTTTATTTACTTAACGTTTACTTCCTCCCCCTGCTTCCCCTAAGAAAATCCCAAGAGCAGTGGGTGAGGGAAGAAAGGAATTAACATTTGTTAAAACCTCGGTGCCAAGCAAGGTGCTAGGCATTTTGCACACGTTATCTCATTTAATCGGTTTGACGACCATCTGGGGAGGGGAGCAGGTGGTGTTGTTCCCACATTACTGATAGAGAACACACTGTTGAGAGTTCAATAGCTTATCCGACGTCACACTGCTAAACCAATTACAGTGCTTTATGAAACCGCTGGCTTCCCCGGCTTCAAAGAGCTCTTTCCACCACTGTAAGCTGCAGGTCTTGCTCACTTGTGTCCCCTATCTTGCCTAACAGATAGCTGGTATTTCACAAATATTTGCTGAATTTAATATCCCTATGGACTCAGTACCACCCGTTTAATAACCTGATTACGCCCCACCCCTGACCTGTCACCTTTACTGTTCCTTTACAGTGGAGTTGATGTACACAGACAGCTCTCACATTTCCACAGAGAAATGCTGCAGACATCAACCCTCAGTGGGAGGGTAAGGGAAAGCCTTCCAGCTCTCCCAGATTTCCCCAATTGCTCTTCCCACAGATTGTAAGAAATGCACACACCGCACACATTTGATACAACGCCTATACTCTTCCAAAAAAGCTCTTGATTCATACCGAATCACGTCTCCGTGCTCACAAGCAATAAGGCTTATGCGGTCTCCAGCTCCCACTGTGGGGACACCCTAAGATACTGTTTGAATGAGAAAAATCACATCTTTCAAATCGTCTTAGAACGAAGGCAACCCAATGCGATCACACTGCCTCTCTCTCCTCCCCTCCCCCCCCATGAATTGCAGTTTGGATTTCCGGCGGGAATACACACAGAAAGATGAAATGGAGCTCAAAAGCAATGGAGCAATTACTTCTCAGTCTGCTTAATTAGAAAGAAGACATATAAGGTGCCCCACCTTTTTAAGTCTCTGCACTGAACTCCAATACGAAAGACCGGGGTGGGGAGGCGGGCACCGAACCTGAAGAGCCCCTAGACATCGAATCACTGCCTTCTGCAGCTAGTCGGGCAAGAGTCCTTTCCTCCCCGCGGTCCCGGGCCACCAGCTCCCGGTGCCGCTCGGAGGAGCCCAACCGCACCTTCCTAGGCGGCCCTAAATCTCATTGTCTCCCTCCGTCGCGGCCCCCAGGGGAGCTGGGTGCAGCCCAGGCCCCGCCGACTCTCTCCCACCGGCCAGCCGGCCGCCCTCGCCGGGCGAGGTCCAACCAGCCCCGGTCGCGACCCCGCCCCAGGTTCGGCGATCCGCACCGCGCCCTTGTGGTGGGGCCGGGCGCCGGGAAAAATGGAGACGGGAGCGGCAGCAGTGCCTCACAGCCCCGCGCCCGACCGGTTCCCTCCGCCAGCCCCGAGGGTAAGGCTGGACACTCACCGCCACAGCCGCTCGGTCCTCCGCCGGCCCCGGCTACTGTAGCGGCCCCAGGCTGGGCAGCCGCCGCTCGCGCTTCTCCAGCCGCCGCCACCGCCTCCTCCTCAGGCGCGGCGCTCCTTCCCGAGACACTCCGTGAGCGCCCGCAGCTCCCGCGCCGCACGCTCCGTGACTGACTGACTGACCGACGGACCGGGCGGCGGCAGCGGGGGCGGGGCGGGAGCGCTAGCCGGGCGGGGCGGCCGCAGCGCCCAGCCGCGGCGGATCCGAGTGCGGTCGCGTCCGGCCGAGACACAGAAGGCGGGGCTGAAGGCCGGACGGCCCACAGGCTGACCGACTCCTGCCCGGCCGCTCGCTGCCCCCGCCCGCCGCCAACCACTCACTTCCGGCGTAGGCGGCAGCGCCCTCCCCTCCCGGGAGCCGGCCCACCGCCCTCGCCCCCTGCCCGCGCCCCTAGCCCCGCCTGCTCACCTTCCCTTCGGGCTGCTGACCGCACCCAGTCCGGGAGGTCCTCGATGCCCCGCCTTTCCTCGGCGCGTCCACAGGAGTCACCTCAGGAACCTGTGAATCAGAGAATGAATGAGTGAGGACGGAAAATCCCGGCACTGTCCCACCCCTTATTCGCCTTCCCTTGGAAGCAGGCCCGGCGGCCTCTGTCCGAGGGCCATGGGACACATTGAGGTATTGAGCGGTGTGTCCCGGACCTGCGTGCGTGCACCTTTATGCGGGAGTGTTCAAGGACTCCAGCAGCACAGCAGATGTTGTCTTAGGTACCTAAAGGACCATTGTCGTTGCAATCTGTGAGGCCTTTTTTTTTTTTTTTTAAAGGAAATTCCATTTTAGCCAACAACTCTCTGCAGTTTCATGCACTATATTGGGAAGCTTTTAAAAATTGGACACGTCGATTATCTTGAAGTACTTATAAACTTTGACATTTGCTTACCTTGCGTTCTTTATAGCGGTCACCACCTTACTGAAATTCTTTAGAAGGTGTTGGCATGTTTCCTTATCGCCAAGCTCTAAACTACTTAATCACTGCTTGTTTTGATGCAGGCATGACTTGTAAATTTTAATTTGTATCTTTATTTTGACCTTATTCTAAAGTTGATTAAAGGAAGGGAAAAATAGAATTAAATCATTTTCCCCCACTACATGCAAAACAAGTTTGTTGACAAGCATTAAAACAATTGAAAAATCAGGAGTGTGACCTGGAATTAGTTGCAGTAAAGACTCCTTTTTCACGTTTTCCCATCTGCTTGCTAAATAAAAGTATCTGTATCTTGAATTTTCACCAATAAAGAATTGACTGTACATTTCTGAGATCTTGGCTCTCTTTCTACCAATCAGAGTGTTCATTTCTCTGTCCTGGGGCCAAATCCCGGTTTTTCTAATTACATTCCTTCTTTCCGATATTCTTTAGAACTTTCAAGTGGTTTTGGTCTTTTTTTGCACAATCTGTTCCAAATTGGTACACAGTCTGTTTCAAAACTGGTATTTAGAACTACACAATACAGTCACGAGCTACATTTTACATCTGAGCTATCTGTACTTCAGAAACATAACCACTTTTGTATAAGTTGAATAGGTGCTTTAATATTCTTGGGTAGAATAATGTTATCTCTTCTATATGAAGATGCTGCTGCTGTCCCATTGCTGTGGCCTCTGTTCCTTTCTTGTGGAATTCATCATTCATTACCTCTAACTATAATTATTTCAGTAAGTTGTGATCTTCCCCAATAAATGTAATACAACCATGTAGTCATCCTTATATCTTCCATAATATTTAGCATAGTACTTTGCACAATAAATATCTTTAAATTAATAAATGAAAATATTTCCGTAAGTGGTCATTTATACACCTCTGTCTGTTAGAGCCTTTCACCCCATTTCCTTTATGACCAGGTTTGTTGAGATTAGACACACCTGGGTGCCAAAACTAATAAATCCCTATTGTCATCAAATGCTATTACTAGGCTGTGATACTATTGTACAAGGGAGATAGTGTACTTCACCAAAATTGCCTTTGAAAATAGACCATTCAATGATTTTTAGATAGCTCTTAGCAACTCTCTCCATTTAGGTTGGTCTAAGCTAACAAGAAAAGGAAACAAAGTAACTTTCAGCCATTGAGAAAGCTACCTAAGCAGGTTCTTGTCAGTTTCTTTAAAACGTGAAATTACTCATTCATTCCACAAGGATTTATTGAGCTCCAACTAAGGCCTAGAAATACAAAGACAGTAAAGACATGAGAAGGTGGTTCCTGCCCTCAAAAAGCACATGGCCTAGTGGGTAAAGGAGGCAAGAAAGTCACTATTAGAATATGGAGTCTATTCCATTAGAACAGGAAATGCTTTTCCTAATTGAACATCTCACAAGATACGTTTTCCACAGGGTATACTTTGAGAAATGCTGCCCTAAGCCAGATATTTGTTTTATATTGGAGAAAACTACAACTTCTAGAGATGAAGTGACTTGCCTAAAGTTAAAAAGATACTCCTGGAAGACAGTGGATTAGAACCTGTATCTTTGGACCCCACTCATAAGCTCTTTCCATTACATAATGCTTTATGAGCTACAAACTCACTCTAGCTCCATCAGCCAATTGTGGGGAGAAAAATATTATAAAAGAATTATGGGATATATTCTTTTTAATGAGGTTTCAAATCAGTAACTTTTAAAGCTATGCTATATTTTAATGATTACTATTTACATATGGTGAAAAGATTTGTACATTATTACCTTAGTATGATCTTTTGATAATGGAACAGAAACCTTATAAAATTAAATTAATTGACTGGGACATCTATCTAGTCAGCCTAGTCCCGAGGTGGCTTTAAATAAAAAAAAACATTCAGGAGTGAACAGAAACTTTAAAACTCTCCCCAAAACTTTTAGTGTTGATTTTTCCTCCTTCATACACAATGAAAAAACAGATTCTAAAATGTGCTGAGACTATGAAAATCCACACCAGGTTTTGACTTCATCTCTGGTACAAGTCCCTAGATTCTGAATACTCCAACAGCTAAAGGATGGGAAGGTTTTATATCCTAAATTCATAGTTCTGTTCCCCAGAGGAAAAATTTTTAGTACTTCCTATTTTTGGAAAAATGAGACAAATAGTTTGTTCCCAAGAGACTTCTTAGGATTACACTATAGCTTTCATTTTAAGATGGCTTCTATTCATATTACCTTTGAAACTAGTTATCACTGTCTTAATTTATGACAGTAATTTATAAAATATTTGTTTCATTTCAAATGCTATATTCCTTTTCAGCAGGCAGACCAAGGGTCACTGCATGTAAGATAAATATGTTGAATGAATAAATAATTATTAACTTAAAAAAAAATCAGTATGATCGCTATGCCTTGACCAGCGTGTCTCAGTTGGTTGGGCACCATTCTACAAAGCAAAAGGTCTTTGGTTCAATACCTGGTCACGGAACATGTTTGGGTTGCGGATTTGGTTCAGATCTGCATGATCGATGTTTCTCCCTCATGATGATGTTTCCGTCCCTTTTTTTCTCCCTCCCTCCCTTCCCCTCTCTCTAAAAATAAAATAAAATCTTTTTTAAAATAAGTAGTCATAAGCAGTGGAAAAAACACTACTTATTAATCAATGTATCAAAACTATTTCTTTAGTGTCCACTGTGTCCTCAGCTCTGTTGAATCACTTAAGAAGTATGAGAGAAATACAAGAAATAGTCTCTAATTTTTAAAAATGACCCCACCCACTTATTGGCAAGGAGGAAAACGCACCCTCATACTCTGCAGGTAGAAGTATAAATCATGGAAAAGAGTTTAGCAACAGACATTAAACCTTAAAAATATACATTTCTTTGATCAAGCAAGGTCACTTCTATGAATTTATTCCAAGGAGTAAGAATAAAACATTAGCTAGGATATCATGGGATAATGGTAAATAATTAGAAATCCCCTAAATAGACAACAATGAGATTAAGAAAATGATGATTTCTAGTCAAATAATTTTTGATAGGAAAAGAGGTTCATAATATGGTTTTTTAAATTATATTTGATTGATTATGCTATTACAGTTGTCCTGAATTTTCCGGCTTTGCCCACCTCCACCCAGCACCCCACTCTCTCAGGCAATCCCCCACCATCGTTCATGCCCATGGATCATGCGTGTAAGTTCTTTGGCTACTCCATTTCCTGTACTGTACTTTATATCCCCATGGCTATTCTGTACCTACCTATTTGTACTTATTTTTTTAAGTATATTTCAGTAATTATGCTATTACAGTTGACCCATTTTTTAATTCTCTTTATCCTCCTCTGCCCTGCACCACACCTCCCACCAACATTACCCCCTGTCCTTAGATCATGTCTATGGGTCATATGTATAAATTCTTTGGCTTCTCCATTTCCTATATGATTCTTAACCTCCCCCTGTCTATTTTGTACCTACCATTTATGCTGCTTATTCCCTGTATCTTTTCTCCCATTCTCACCCTTCCACCTCCCCAGTGAGAACCGTCCATATGATCTCCATTTCTGTAATTCTGTTCCTGTTCTAGTTGTTTCCTTTGTTTGTTTTTTGGTTTGGTTTGTTTTTTGTTTTGTTTTTTAGGTGCAGTTGTTGACAGTTGTGAGTTTGTTGTCATTTTACTGTTCATAGTTTTGATCTTCTTCTTCTTCTTAGATAAGTCCCTTTAACATTTCATATAATAAAGAGTTGGTGATGATGAACTCCTTTAACTTGACCTTATCTGGGAAGCACTTTTATCTGCCCTTCCATTCTAAATGATAGCTTTGCTGGCTAGAGTAATCTTGGATGTAGGTCCTTGCCTTTTATGACTTGGACTCCTTCTTTCCAGCTCCTTCTTGTCTGCAAGGTTTCTTCTGAGAAATCAGCTGATAGTCCTATGGAAACTCCTTTGGAGGTAACTGTCTCCTTTTCTCTTGCTGCTTTTAAGATTCTCGCCTTACCTTTAACCTTGGGTAATGTAATGATGATGTGCCTTGGTGTGTGCTTCCTTGGGTCCAACTTCTTTGGGACTCTCTGAGCTTCCTGGTCTTCCTGGAAGTCTATTTCCTTTGCCAGATTGGGGAAGTTCTCCCTCATTATTTTTTCAAAAAATAAGTTTTAATTTCTGGCTCTTCCTCTTCTCCTTCTGGCACCCCTGTGATTCGGATATTGGGATGTTTAAATTTGTCCTGGAGGTGCCTAAGCCTCTCCTCATTTTCTTGAATTCTTGTTTCTTCATTCTGTTTCAGTACAGAATAAAGTCGAATACTCCTTTCTTCC